CAAGCAATTCTCCTGCTTCAGCCTCCCGAGTAGCTGGGATTACAGGCGCCCACCACCACACCCAGCTGATTTTTTATTTTTATTTTTAGTAGAGACAGGGTTTCACTGTATTAGCCAGGATGGTCTCAATCTGCTGACTTCGTGATCCTCCTGCCTCGGCCTCCCAAAGTGCTGAAGATTACAGGTGTGAGTCACTGCGCATGGCCTGGATGTTCCATTTCTTAAAGCCAACTTTGCCTATCTCTGTTCTTACGCACACAGACACAGTAGTTGATTCCTTCTGGGCCAATCAGAATCCCCAATTTAGAGATGCCCTGTTGCAGACAGATAAATACAATGAGACTCAGAGACATTAAGGAACTTGCCTCAATTCACTGAGCCTATAGCTGCTGGGAAAGGTCTTAAACCCAGACTTTGTCCTTTTTTTCTACTGCATCACCCTACCTCTTATCCTACTAGACTTTAGAAATTTAATGTTTTTCATTAAGATTGCCTCAAGTAACTGTCTCTTTTTGTTTGTCTTGATCTATGCAAAATTTCTTTCTCATGAGTCTAATAAGACTTCGATGCCTCCTCATTGTCTACAGAAGAGACTGCAAATACCTTACAATGGCTTTCAAGGTTCTCGAAGAGGTATTTCCCAGCACACCTTTACTTCCTAATAAGCACTTTATTTAGCAATATGAGATTATTGTCTTAGAATTTTTCAAAACCCTCCTAGTTTGCTGCCCTTGCTATTTCCAGTACTTGGCATTCCCTCTACTTCTCTGTGCCCGAAAATGATAGAAGTAGCTTTGGAATTGGGCAGTGAGTGGAGACTGGAAGAATTTTGGAAAGCATGCTAGAAAAATCCTAGGTTCCTTTGAAAAGACAATTAAATAAGGACACTGTTGAGGAAAATAAGGAGAATTTTAGAAACATCTTAGAAATCACCTTAGAAAAAGCCTAAATTGCAGTAAACAGACTGTTAGTAGACATCTGTACTTGAAGGATACTACTAGCCAGGGCTCAGAGGGAAGTGAGTGACTTGGTATTGGAAACCAGAAGAAATGGGATCCTTATAAAACAGTGGCAGGAAACTTGGCAAAATTGTATCTTGTACATTCAGAGAGATTTGAAGCGTGAGGAAGACTAGGAGGCTGCTGCCGTTTGAAGATGAAGTATACAATATGACAGGGAATCGAGTGAACAGAAAGTGTTGATGGGGATCCCAGCAGATAGCCAACAAAAGGGAACCTCATTTCCACAGCAGCAAGGAACTGCATTCTGCCAAAAACCTAAGGAACTTGGAAGCAGATCCTTTTCTGGAGCCTGTAGATAAGTGCCTGGCTTGCGGACACCTGGATTTCAGCCCTGGGAGACTCCAAGCAGAGGCGCCAGGTGAGCCCACCTGGACTTGGGACCTACAAACTATGAGATAATAGATGTGTGTTGTTTTAAGCCACTGATTTTGTGGTAATTCACGACAGCAGAGGTAGGAAACAACTACACTGAAATTCATTGTACTTCTCACATCTGTTGTCATGTTTTTCATCTGTTTTGGAGAATTATCATCCACTCCTAACACATTTTGTCTGATCCGTTCTTTCTGCCCTCTCCTCCTGGACATTGAATTAGATGAATGTTAGATATTTTCATCATTGTAGAGTTATTTCCGTCTTGGTGGTCTCCCAATCTCCTTAATCCTCTCTTCAGCATTGCCCAATCTGTTATTAAGCTCACTTGCTGAGTTCCTAATTTCATTTTTGTTTCCTTCAGTTTTAAAAATTCATTTGATTCTTTTCAATATTTAATACATTCCAGTCCTCTGGTGATTTCTCCATCGTGTCATTTATTTTCTTGACCATATTAATAATAAAATATATTTACTAGTGTGTTTTCATTGCTATATTTCCGTTGTTGGATTTTTCTCTTGGACTGGCTTCTTATGCTTCATAACATTAAATTAAAAGCCACTCATGGCCAGGCACTATGGCTCATGCCTATATTCTTAGCACTTGGGGAGCCAAGGCGGGCAAATCACTCGGGGGACAGGAGTTTGAGACCAGCCTGGGCCAACATGGTGAAACCCATCTCTACTGAAAATACAAAAATTAGGGGTGCGGGTGGGGGTGCCTGTAATCCCAGCTACTCGAGCAAGAGCTGAGGCATGAGAATCGCTTGAACCTTGTGGGTGGAGGTTGCAGTGAGCCAAGGAATCAACACCACTG